TGTCTTACAGCCAGCCTCCCTCCTCCCATCCTCCACCCCTCCCCCCTTCCCCTCTCTGTCTCTCTCTCCTCCTGCTGCTGTGGGTTCCACAGGCTGGTCCACCCGTGACTGTATCTCTGCTGTGGCTCTTTGTCAAGTTCATCCGGCACAGTTCCTTTTCTTTCTCCTCTCTTAAGATCTGGCTCCCAAGATTCAGCCTTACGGTCTGCTCTGGGTGGGACTTCCCTTGGCCACAAGAGCGACATAAAGAGGAGCTTGCCCTGGAAGCTTTCTCTGGATGGCTGCGCAGAAAGACATAACAGGCAAATGAAGTGACCTAGCATTTGGGGTCTTATTAGAACACAGAACTGGACCAGGTGGAGAGGCAGAGTATGTCCAGGTAGGCAAGTCTTCCCTTCAACAGCCTTGGGCAGCTTGCTTGGGCTCTCCGTGCCTCAGTTTCTTCATCTGTGAAATAAACGAGTTGGCTATTTTTTGAAGCCCTAAAGATCTAGGATCTTCTGACATACAGGTTCGCCCTCTTCTGCAAGTGCCCACTTAGATTAAGACAAAATATCTACACCACGGGGATAGTTACATCCACCCCAGGCCCCCCACACCCCACTGAATGACAAGTGTTCTTTCCTTTGAACAGCAGAAGCTTCCCCAACACAGCACACCAGGAGTGACCGCATCCAACCAGAGGATCCATGCAAAATATGATTTGGATTAAAAACGTGCAAGCCTCTGAAAGCTTGTCCCCAGCCAGAATCCCCCAACACTGCCCGCCCAGAGTCGGGGCCAGGACTTCACAAGAACTCACCAGCCTCCCACGGAGGGCTGAGCCTTCAGAAAGGTGGCCCGGTTGCTCAGTAACTCCCCCGGGTCTGATGTCCACAACCCAGGACCCACAGATGTCAAGGAAGCAGGGACTTCCATCCTAAGGAACAACTGCAGGGAAGCAGAGCCACAGAAGGTGGGGTGGACATCACAAGTGAGGGCTGCCCCCCCACATACCCCTCACACCTACCACAAGCTCAGGTGCCCTCCCCCCGCACACTCACTCCCCCCCAGAAGGGCTCCCGGGTGAAAACGACCTGCAACAGTGCCATCTAGTGGGGGCTGGCGGCTGTCCGGCCCTCACAGGTTTCTCTGCACAGCCCTAGTCTGCTGATGCACAGACCTGGAGGAGGTGGCTGGTGCTCGCCAGAAAGAAGTGATGGCTTGAGACTCTCACCCCACCTGCACACGGTGCCAACTGACCCGTCAAAGCGCTCTGGGGTGGCCACGTGTCACCCAGTCAGGGGCTAGGAGACCCCACAGTCCCTCTCCCACAGACGGGGCCTCTGTGCCTCTCTAGTGCAGGAGAGGATGCCATCATTTTTAAACAAGGATTTATGTCAGGCTGCTGGCCAGCGGACACCCCCCCCCTTCCCCTGCGGAGACCACAGGAAGATGTCGCAGCTCAGTGAGCACAGGCGCACGGGTCGCAGCCTGTGCAGCCCACAGAAACAGTCACTGAGCAGGCCAGCGGGCTGTGGGGGGAGCCGGTGCATTGCTGCCTCCTCCTCCTCCACCAAGAGGGGCCCTCCCAGGGCCGGGGATCAGCCTCTCCAGGAGGCCCTCCCAAGGAGACTGAGAGATGGGGAGGCCCTGGACCTTAAGGGCCTATGGAGGCTGACCAGGAGGAGCGGGAGGTGACACCCTGGCCACTCAGCCTGAGAGAGGAGGAAATGGAGCCCTGGCGGTGCCTCCACCTGGGGGAGAGGAAGCTCCGCAGAGGGTGCCCCAAGATGGCCCGGCCTTCCCTGGCTCCCAGGGCCCTTGGGTGCAGCGGGCAGGGCATGGATGCCAGGTGTGTTGGGGCCCTGGACCCGCCACCCTCACTCGCTCTCCCTGTTGAATGGCTGCCCTGGCTGCACCACCCCAGACACTGCTCTGTCAGCCTCTCACCACCACCAAGCCTCACTCTTCCTCCTCCCTCCCGTTCCTTGCCCCGGAGTGTCCTCACAGCACCACAGGCAATGGCTCTGCCAGGGCCTCCTCCAGAACCCCTCCCCCCTTGCAGGGAGGGCAGCATGGCCTGCACCTGACCCACATGCTGGGCTATGCATCGGGTTCCGAGGAGCCCACTTCACCAGGGGGCATCCTCAAGGTCACAGAGGGCATGGGAGCCCGGCCAGGGACCCAGCTGTCTGACTCTGTGCAGCCTCTAACGCCTGGGCCAGCTCCACCAGGTGCATGTAGGGAGTGGTCTGGGCTGCAGGCCAAGGTGTCACTAACAACTGGAGCTGAGCGCAGCGACTGGGGACCTTCCTCAGCCCCAGGATGGCGACAGTGCACAAAATGACCTCTTAGTTTGGGGGCGGGGGTAGGGTGAGCAGCGTGGGGCACAGGTTGGAGGGGGGGAACTTATAATGCAAATTTCCCCAAGCCCGCTCCATCCCCTCTCACACCAGCCCACCTCTGACCCCAAGCAAGCAAGGGGAGGCTCCCAGCACCAAGCAGCATCGAGGCCGCTTCGTGGGCGAAGGAGCCCCTGTCACCGACAGGAGGGAGTGTTTGCTTTACTGCACTACTGCAGGGGCAGGGCCTGGCTTCTGAGAGTAGAAAGTGCAGCAGACTTCACGGGCAGCGAGGTCACGTCTCCCCTCCACCCGCACAGCCCCCCTCTGGGGTCAGTCTGTAGGTCTCTGCCCCCTCACCTGTCTCTCTACCTCTCTCCCTCTCACTGCCCCTGCCCCATCTCTGTCTCATCCTCTCTGTTTTTCTTTCTCCCTCTGTCAGGCACACGGCGCGGCTCTTTCTGCTCATTCACCTGCTTCCACACGCTGCCACTACGCCCAGCCCGAATCTGGCTCAGCCCCTGGGTCCAGCATCCCACCTTGTTAATGTCTGGCCACGACCTTTCCGGTTCAAATCTCAAGAGAGAATCTGATTGGTTTAATCCAGCCTATGGCTTGGGGCCAGGTGGTCAGGTGACCACCCTTATCCAATTGGCTGTGGGGAAGGCGGGGCGGCTTGGGTCACATGACCCAATCAGAGCGAGCGGAGTTGAGAGTGGCATGGAGGCAGGAAGAACACACTCGGGACACCCTCGTATCGCACAGACAGAAAAATGCTCCGTGAAGCATCGTTTATAACAATAACAAAAAATCTCTTCGCTCCCTGGTTCCCTCAAAATGGTTAATCTGCCATTCACTGGCTGAGCAAGGCACTGCTTGCCGGACCCGGCACCAGCCCTGGACACTGAGGCAAAGCTGTATCAGACGGCCACTCAGTCGTGCAGGGGTAGAGGGCCGGGCCGCACGCAGCCCCTCCACGCAGGCTCTGCAGCCAGGCCACGTCATCTCAGCCCGAGGAGAGACCCGCAAGCACCCGCGATGTGAACCACCAGAGTCCGGCCTTCCCGGGCTGGGGGCAGGCGCCAGTGGCATCAGGGCCAAGCGGCCCCGAGGGCGAGATCCTGGCAGGAGCAGCGGCTCCTCTCCAGACCTGGCAGGTCCTGACTTGCAGTTGGAACCTGCCTTTTGGCCCACGGGCTGGCAGCCCCAGCCGGCCGCTCCAGTGTCCTCGCCTCTACCTGGACTTAATTCAAACCATTCTGTCCAAGCCTAATTCAGAGCTTTTATTAGGTTTTAGGTTACTCTATCTATGGCACAATAGAAACATTTCTGCAATCTTAAATTAGAAACATACCAGGGTGGGGGGTGGGGGGATTTTTTTCCAAGCCTTTTACAACACTGTCGACAGGACTGCAGTCTGACAAGGGAGCCTCGCGTGGGGAGCTCTGGTTCTCCAGACCAGCACGCATCCTCCAGGTCGCTCTTCCTTCTCTTTTCCCAAGAGCGGTCCCAGGACCCAGCTCATTATCAGACTGTGGCCTGTGAGTCCCCAGGCAGGATCACTCTGGTGGCAATCCCAGAAGGAGTAAGGCACCGGCTGCAGATCAGGACACGGAGGGTTTGAACCCCAGTTCTGGGAGGAACAGACCCTCCCGGATCATTCCTGCTTACCCTGACATGAGGGTGGCAGGAGCCCTCCGGCATCCTGGCTGTGGCATCCAGGCTCCTGGACAGCTGGAGGATGGCTTGCTTACAGCCAGAGGCTCCAAGCCTGTGGCAGTCTGGTCCAGGACAGCGCCCAGGGCTGACATTTGGGGCCCAACTTGGAATTTTGGAATGAAGCAGTTGCTTTGTAGAAGGAAATCAAGGCAATGAGCAGAAAGTGGCTGATTGATGCTGAGGGAGGGGGAAAAATAGGACAGTCCTGAGATTATGCATGAATTTGTCCCATGTAAAATGATCTAACTCCCCTGAACCACACCAAGAAACCCTGCACTCTGAAAGCCACAGCATTGCTCACCAAGGCTGCTCGTGGTCCCTGTGATCTGACCGCCATCCCAAGGCCACAGCAGCTGGCCAGGTTGATGCCATGGATACACGATGGGGGAGGGAGGGGGAGGATGGTGCCACTTTCAAGAACCAACAAAGGGTGAGTTCAGTCCTCAGTGCACTGGGTCTACTGGTATTATGGTCTCTGAACCTCCGTGAGCCAAACAGTTGACAAGTTCCAGGTATAAAAATGAAAAATATCTGACAGAGGCTGGTGCTGTGGCACAGTGGGTTAAGCTGCACCTGAGAGGCCACTATCACATTGTGGCATTCTGATTCAAGTCCTGACTGTTCCATTTCTGATCCAGCTCCCTGCTGGTGCGCCTGAGAAAGCAGCAGCAGAAGACTCAAGTACCTGGACATCTACCATCTATGTGGGAGACATGGCTCCTGGCTTAGTCCTGGTCATTGTGACATCTGGGTAATATAGTGATCAATCCAGCGAATGGAAGACCGATCGGTTGGTCAATCGATCTCTCTCTCTCCCCACCCCGGCTTTCTCTGCCACTCTGCCTTTCAAATAAATAAATGAGCCTTAAAAAAAAAAAAAAACAACTGAGCTTGTGCCCAGCCCACAGTTCTACCTCACACTCTGGCTTCCTGCCTGCCCACACCTGTCCCTAGCCCTGGCCCTTCCCCACCACTGTGGGCACAAGGCTTGGTGCTGCAGGCAATGGCCTACAAGGTATGTCATCTGGGCACACACTACAGGAGGGACTCGGGGTGGGCAAAGGTCTCGCAGAGCTGGAAAGGGCACAGAGGCTTCCCAGCGAGACAGGCTTGGAGACTGGCTCTGAGGGAGGGCCAGCCCAGGGCAAGCCCGGAGGGCAGGCGGCATGGCCAAGGCCAAGACTCCGAGCCGCGAACCCTGGGTGTTCAGGAGCAGCCGGTGAGGGACAAGGGGCTCGCCTTGGAGACGAGCGTGGTTAAGGAAGCGTCCACCCTCCCGACGGCGTCCCTAGCCTATCCTCGTCCCTGTGAGGCGGATCGTCAGGTCTGTGGCCACCTGACCAGAGGGCCGGCCTGACGCAGTGCTAAGCCCCGGGCTGAAGGCTGCACAGGGACTGGGGGAAGCTGGCTGTGGCTGCTGCCCTCTCTCCCACTTCTGGTCCCACAATCTAGGATGGCAGCTTCTCCACTGATAATTCCCCAGTGGGCTCAGTCTGCCCTGTCTCAGGGCACAGGGGTCAGCGTGAGCCCTGGGCCTTGGGCACAGACCCCATGTGACACTGGGGGGGGTGCTGAAACCCACGCTGAGGCCCAGCACCCTGCTGGTGCTTGGCCTCGGGAATATATCACTCGGGGGACTGGAAATCCAGGGGCCCTCCTTGCAGGAGACCACGGGGTACAGGGCAGCTTCTGGCCCCCACCACCCCATGGCTCAGGGACCACTGCCAGTCTGACTTCCACCTGACCCCTAGAAGACAAAGGCCAGAGGCGCTCACTTGAAGTGGCCCAAGGCAGGGACAGGAGCTGTCCAACTCCTGGGCTGCTCTGGGCTGTTGGGTGCTTTCACCCAACAGCACACCTGGTAACCCAGCCTTCGGCCTTCCACCCACTCTCCCCCGAGGCCGCCCCATCAGCAGAAAGAGGCACTCAGGAGCTCAGCTGGGGCCACCAGCACACCAGGCTCCCAGTTGAGTCAGGCCAGCTCCTCCACTTTCTCCTTCTACCCGAGGCGGACACTGTGGAGTCAAGGACACGAGCCTGGGGCCCCACTCAGCTCAGAGTCCTAGTGACCAGCACAGGACATGGGGAAGTGACCACAAGCCAGGCTAGACGAGACCCACCACTGCCCTGGGAGGTGCGGGCATTGTTCAGTGGGTTAAGCCACCATTAGGGATACCTGCTTCCTGGATCAGACCACCTGATTCAAATGCAGGCTGCTCCACTTCTGATCCAGCTTCCTGCTACTTCGATCCTGGAGGCAGCAGGTAATGGCTCAAGTGGTAGAGTCCCTGCCACCCACGTGGGAGACCCAGAGGAAGTTTCAGGCTCCCAGCTTCAGCCTGGCCCAGCTCCCACTACTGCAGGCATTTGGAGGATGAACTAGCAAATGAAAGATCTCTCTCAACACCGCTCTATCTCCCTCCTTCCTCCTCCGCCTCTCTCTCTCTCCCCCCTGCCTTTCAAATCAATCAGTCACAGGCACATGACAGGTGAACTGATGCCCCTGCTCAGAACAGCGCTGGCTCAATTGGCCCTGCTCAACCCCCCCTCGGCAGAGTCCCCCTGGGACTGGTCACACTGTGTCACCTCCTGCAAGGCTAGTGAGAGGTCAATGCTGGATTCAAACCCAGAGTTCTCGTCCACTCAGACAGAAGAACCGGCAAAGGCTTGAGGAAGGCAGAGGGTAAGCCACCTGGGTGGTGCTTCCATAAAGGGCAGCCTCCAGGCAGCACAGACAAGGCTCAGGAAGATCCTGGAAGACCTCCTGGAGGAGGTGATGTGTGGCAGATGAGCAGGAGAAGGCCTGCAGGACAGAGGAATAGTGTACGTGAGGGTGGCAGGCAGCTTGACCCTTGGAGACTCCACCAGTGGCCCCCTGGCTAAATGCTAAGACAGCTGTGAGGAAGATGTGCATTCTCAATAATGATCTGCTGTCTGAAATATCTCCACTTTGGCTTGGACAGGGAGTGCAATCTGGCTATCTAGGAAGGCAATCAAAGCCAGAGACAACAGGCACTTAGAAAGCCCCGGAGTGGGTGGAGGCGAGCCGTTCTTCCTCTGAAGCACCAGGGACATCTGGGCCAGGTTACAGCCAGGACACAGTGCCCACCTGCAGAGGCCTGCACCCTCTCTGCACCAAGAATCCGGGCAGTCACCCCTGAGACGGGCAGATCTGGATGCAGGTGTGAACTGGGAGGGCTCTTGGGGCAGGCCTGGAGGGTCTGGGCACCAGCTGGATATCTTGGCCGATGCCACAGAGTCCCCAGAGGCTAGGCCCTGAGGTAGGCTGTCATCCCTGCTTGGCCCTGATTCCTTCCCAACTGGTTCAGCTCCTCTGAAAGGTCTTCCCAGAGCCCACCCTATGTTCACTAGGACCCCCGGTCGCAGCATATCGTAGGATCTGTACTACCCTTTCAGCCAAGGGATTCATCACAGGCTATAAATAGGAACGTGTGTGCTCGCTTGTTATCTGATTATCTCTGCTGGGCTTCGAGCACCACAAGGACAAGGACTGGGACTGTTCTGTCCACCAGCATAGCCCCAGTGTCCAGCAAACTGACAAACACTTGCAGAGAGGCCAAAGGCATGACTAGGGGACTGCAAATCTGCCCCTAGAACCTTGTTCCCCAAACCCTTCTGCTCATTCGAGCATCCAACGTTCACTAAGCATCTATATGTGCCAGACCCAAAGCTGGGAAAATGAGACATACACGCCCACGGGAGAGCGCTCTAGGACACAACCTGTTACTCAGGCACTGGCAGGGATTTGGCCATGGATGCCTTCCGTCACGGGCCTCACGCTCAAGGTGCGTGTGCTGGGGGCACGGGGGTGGTGTGCGGGGCGGAATTCACATCAGTAGTTACAGGCTGACACTGGCTTTGCTGCAGAGAGCAGGGGGCACCTCCCCTGCTAATCTTGCCCGCCAAGGCCCCAGGCCCTGCTTCGCAATCAGGAGACCTTGAGAGTACAGGGCAGGGGTGAGGAAAGCAGATAGTTCACACACTTCTCACCCACTGTTCTTCCCAGCTTGGATGGGGCTCAGCGCTGGCCATCAGCCATGCCAGAACTGAAGGTCGGGGAGCAGAGCCAGACCTCGAGGTGGGCAGCGGAGCCTGGAGGCGCCACAGGTCCCAGAGCAAGGCTGCTGCAGGTACCCCACCTGGCTCAACAGCGCCTTCACCTCCACTCCTTCCGAGAACCGCGTCCCCCCCACCCCATCCCCGCCACACTGCGGGGACTCTGGTGGCAGGGGCAGGCAGCAGGATGGGGCAGCTCTCTGTGCAGCCACCCAGCAGGGCTGTCAGGATTTGCGGGCAGCCGGAGGGATAGTCAGAGCAGCAGCTGCATGTCAGAGGCATCAACCCGAGGTCTGGGCAGCACGGCCAGAGCCTGGATTCTACTGCTGGGGAGACCAAGGGCAGACAAGGGAGGACTCTGCTCCAGGCTACAAGGGAGAGAGGTCGCTCCAGGGCTGGCATGGGTTCCATTCCACAGGCCTGGGTTCCTTCACAACGCTCTGCCAACTGTGTTTCTGGCTGATGGCACCCCAAACCCAGCCCCTCCAAGCCCACAGGGCAGAACTGAGCTAAAAAAACGCATTCAAGGGTTGGGGGGTAGGGGGCCTTGAGCAGTCCCATGGAGGCGCCTCCCCTGCACCCACCAGAGCCTGTGATTTGACCTCCTCTCACCTTTCCTAGATGTGCTCCGGGTCCCCATGAGGCCTTCAGGGTCCCCCCACACACACTACCACCCCGCTGACGGAGAACAAATGGGGGAGTCCCAGAAGGGCTGGGGAGAGCCCCACTCTGGCACACGCAGAGCGGCATTGAGGCCACACCTCCGGCTCCCGCCCTTAGGTGCCCTCAGCTCCATCTCCGCCTCTGTAACATGGGTGAGGGAGCCTGCCACAAAGGACTGTGGCAAGGGATCGGTCCACGGGCACGCAGCCACGCAATCCCTGAGCCTCCCCTGATGCCGCTCTGTGGAACGCATCTCCCATTGCAGGCCGATTCAGCACGCGGGTGCAGGCCCAGCACAGCACACACGGCAGGCTCACCAACAGCGCGTACAGCTGCCACACTCACTACCATCCTCCTTTTACAATAGGTCATCACACGCAGGGGATGGGGGCAGGGGGGGGGGGCAGATGATGCAGGAGACTGGCCAGGGGCAAGACTGCAGGGGCTGAGGAGGGAGGATTTCTTGGTGACTGTATTGGTGTTTCAAGCCTTGGCCTTCCCCAGGCTACATGACCTCGGGCAACAGACGTGACCTGACCTTCCTGAATGGATCTGTTTGCTCTGCAAGCCCAGGCGACACCTTTGTCTTAGCTCAGCAGTGAGGGTGAAGAGAGCACGTCCAGTGTGGCACGAGGCAATTGGAGGGGGCTCAGCCCCTGCCCACCCTCACCTGTCTTAAGCAGCCAGAGGGCGGTGACACAGGGGAAAGGCACAAAGTACCAAAGAGTGCGGCTCAGTTCTAGAATGGCCTCAAAAGTTCTAGAATGTCCTCAGAAGAGCAGTAAGAAGACAGAAACCACACAGGAGCTTGTTTTTAAAGACAAAGGGAAAATATGATTAAGCAGGCCTGAGAATGCTGTTATGAAAGAATGCAAATATTTTCCTTTCCAGGGCATTTGTATGTCAACAGCTGATAGGGGGCAGGAGGGGCCCCACAAGGCCACCAAGCACCTCCAGCTGCACAGTATGTGGCTGCCGTGGAGGAGCCACCGCCGGGAAAAGCAGGCCGGGAGGCCACTGGGGGAGGGAGGACTTTGCAGAGCCTCAGTAGTGCAGCCTGAGAAATAGGGCTGCCCAGGCTGGGCTCTGGCCGGCCACGCCGCTTTTCCACCTGCGCTCTGCGAGAACCGGCCTGCAGCAGCCTAACTGGCGGCTGAGGTCGGGGGAGGAGGGAGCTGAGACCGTCAGGTGAACAGAAAAGTTAAGGACTGCTCCTGAGGTCACACAGCTGATGGGGTGTGGCACAGCTGACAGACGCTGGGGTGGCCCCAACGTACCACCTTGCGTCGCCATCCTGGGAGACTGCTTCACTCATCCTAGCCCCTGGAGCAGCACCAAGAAAACCCAGAGACCCCTCCTGTCCCCGCTTCTCCCCTGAGGGCCCTCGGCTCTGCCCCTCCCCCACACCCAGACAAGCAGGACACGTGAGAATCCTTGGCTGGCCGCCCTAACCCTTGCTCCCTCTCTGCCAGGCAACCATGATCAGTCTCCTGTTCTCAAGTTCCCTGCCTTCCCCACAGCTGCCAGCCCATCCAACTCCCCTCTCCTGGTTCTTGGGTCATGGCCAGCACCCTGGGGATCTTTCTCACCTTAGTGTTTGTCTCCTCCCCAGTGCCCCTGAGAAACCGGCGTCCGTCCGAGGAGCAACACGACACCCTCGCCCTTCCTCCTGCACATCTATGCTTGGCGTGATTTAGCGGCAGTGTTCTCTGTGGCAGCATACACTAGGTGCCCAATGCATGCATGCTGATGATGTCCACTTGTGCACATTAGTCTAACTGACATCACTAGGACCTCACGGGACCTGAATCCCTTCCCTGTCCCCAGGACAGAGACTGCCAGAGGAGGAAACAGGGCTCCAAGCCAAGTGTGCTCCAATGTGCCAAAGTCCAGGTTCAAAGCCTGGTGTTTCAGCCCCTCCCACTGCCCCACACCACCCCTCGTCGCCTACATCCCCTGCGAGGCAGCTACCAGGCAGTCCCCGGGGGACCGGCAGCTTCAGCTTACGGGGTTCAGGAAGGTGTGGCAGCACCCCCCCACACACACTTTATCCAGGTCCACCTTGGAAATGCTCTCAGGTAAGGGACCCAAGAGCAGCTGCAGGTGCTGCTGGGTAGGCCTCTCAGAAGACGTCCCTCATCCCGCCTGTGCTGGGGTGACAATAAGGGGGCCCCAGACCACTCCCTTCTCCCAGCAGATGGCCTGGGCAGCACTCCCAGCAGGAGGGGCGGCTCTGTGAGAGAGGCAGCCCCGCACAGTGAGCGGGGCTGGAGGCTGAGGCTGGCTGTGTCTGCCCTGCGCTCCCCATGCAGCCCCAGGCCGGGCAGGAGCCAGCAGCAACCTGGACAAGCAGTCCTGCAACCCTTTGTGGGCCACAGCTGCTGCCTGGACACTTCTAGAAACTGCCCAGGCACGAGCTCTGCCGGTCAGACTCACAAGCAGGCAGACACGATGGAAAGCAGACTCTCCCACCTCGGACATCGAACAGCAGCCTGGGGCTGCGAGGCACTGGCTGCGGAACCCATGGGCTGGGCCCTGTGCTGAGCACCTGAGATTCAGACGTAAGCAAACCAGGGCCTCACCCCTGCAGAGATCATGGGTGCTCACGGGAAATGCTTCACATCTGTGGGCCCAAGGACTGGCCACAGATTACAGGTTCAGGTCACTCCTCACTGTTCTGTGCCCCTCTGCAAGCCCAGACCCTCTGCTGCCCGGGGCCACCATGCTGTGAGCTGTGTGGCTTCACCAGTCCAGGCTCAGTTGACTGGACCAGGGTACACAGTGGCTCGAGTGTGTGTGTGTGTGTGTGTGTGTGTGTGTGTATCAAGAGATCAGAGAAGGGGCTGGTTTTAGAGAACTGGGATTTCAAGAGCAAGTGAGTTGGAGTGGGGATGGCCATGAGACCATGCTGGAGCCAAAGAGGCTTTGCCAGCAACTCACAAGCTGAGGGGGCAGGACTTACGAGAGCCAGGGCTTGGAGACACAGGGCCAGACTGGGGGGTGGAGGGGAGAGGGGCAGTTGATTAAGGGGTGGGGGAGGCTGCAGTGGTCCTGAGGGGCTGCTCCGATAGCTGTTGAAACTTCAACAAGTGCAAGGCTAGACTGGGAGCCAAACAGACCTCAAGTACACAGTGCTCAAGAATCGTTCAGTCTACAGGAGTAACTCTGCCCAGTTCCAGGTCCCGTGCCAAGATGAGCGACGTGGCCTGTGCCCGTGAGAGCCACAACCCAGAAGAAGACATACAGGTCAGTCTGAAGAGGATTGGGACCGAGAGAAGGAGGCCTAGGAGACCACGGGAGCAATGCTAGCTGGACACTGGGAAAGTTCCAGAAATGGACCGGATTTACTAGGTAATAAATGGTTCTGCTCGTATGGGAGAGCCCAAGACGCCCCCAAGTAACTGCAGAGGTCTGAGTGTCCACTGACCTGCGCACTGCTGGGGCAGAGGGGTCTGGGCAGTCGGTGGCTGAGTACCCATCTCCTGCCTCCATCCTGGCTTCAGATTCTTCATCTGAAAAGACAAGCAACCTTGTTTGTTCCCAGTATTGGGTGAGAACATGCAGAGAGAGGCTGGCTCAGTGTCACGCATCCAGTAAGTGCTGCCACCATCAGAGGGCTGGGCTGGTGGCACAGTCCCCAGACTGTAGCCTGTGTCTTCCTCTTGGCACCCCCACTCCTCCAAGGTTTGTGGTGTTGGTGCATCAGGGAAGAACTGTTACTCCTCTTCATGTTTGTTTCCTGACTTGTTCTAAAAACAATCGGTCACACTGTTAGAATCAGGTTACAACTGTCTCCATGTACAGAGCACTAACGTTAACTGAGCACTCTGATGTGACAGACTGGATTCTTTACGTACATTATCACACTCAATTCCAGTAAGTAAGGGAGAGGCAATGCATATGTGAAAACACGCAGAATACCTTTCAGGAAGAGAACCGTGTTGGCCACGTGACCTAACCCCTAAGCTTCCCCCTCCATACAGAAGGGGTCAGACTTGGACCTATCACATGGAGCTACTCTGGCTACTGAAGATTCAATTAGATAATACACGGGGAGCATCAAGCACGGGGCTTTCAAGTGCCTCGAAAGCATTGCACATAAACTAAGAACCAGTAAATATTTGTTGATTGATTGATCTGCACTTATTAAATGCTCAGTAGTCACTGTTATTTTGACATTAGCTTAGGAATGCCCACAAGTGGACAGTTTGTTAATGAAGATGAGGCTTTCGATTCATGGTGTTAGTGGCCGGTGTGGTAGCGCAGCATGTTAAGTCACTGTGTGTGATGCCAGTGTCTCATATCTGAGCACAGCTCAAATGCTAGCCGCTCTGCTTCTGATCCAGCTCCCTGCTAATGTGCCCAGGAAAGCAGCAGAAGATGGTTCAAGCCCTTGGGCCCCTTCACCCACGTGGGAGACCTGGATGGAGTCCAGGCTCCTGGCTTGTGCCCATTTAGGGAGTGAACCAACAGGTGGTTCTCGCTTTGTTTCTCCCTCTATCTCTGTCACTCTCTGCCTTTCAAATAAAAAAATCTTAAAAAAAAAAAAAACAACTCATGGTTGTACCTAATGGGATTAGAACAAAAGAAGTTGCAACAAGCACAGAAAATTCACCTGAAGTTAGAATGGTCAAAGAACTTTCAAGAATAAAGATGTTTAAAATTACACCTTAAGGCCAGCGCCGTGGCTCACTAGGCTAATCCTCCGCCAGTGGCACCAGCACCCCAGGTTCTAGTCCCGGTCTGGGCGCCGGATTCTGTCCCGGTTGCCCCTCTTCCAGGCCAGCTCTCTGCTGTGGCCCGGGAGTGCAGTGGAGGGTGGCCCAAGTGCTTGGGCCCTGCACCCCATGGGAGACCAGGAGAAGTACCTGGCTCCTGCCATCGGATCAGCGCGGTGCACCGGCCACAGCACACCACCAGAGCAGCCATTGAGGGGTGAACCAACGGCAAAGGAAGACCTTTCTCTCTGTCTCTCTCTCTCTCACTGTCCACTCTGCCTGTCAAAAAAATTTTTTTAAAAAATTACACGTTAAGCTGTTTCTGTTTCCTCAAGACGGAATCCCTCTCTACAACCTAGAAAGCCTGCAAAGGACATCTTTGGCGAGACAGGGTTGAAGGAGGTGAAATGAACCATGCAGTGTCCATCAGAAAGGAGCCTCCACACTGACCTCAGCGAGTGCAGGAATCCACACAGCAGGCAAAGCAGATTGCTAAGCACCCAGCCACAGTGAGCACCAGGGACAGGGAAATGCACACCGCACAGTGCCGTCTATAGGATAACTCACAGGAGAAAACATTCAGAGTGTATGATCTTTAACCAGAAAAAATAGGGGGACTTTAAAGTCCCAAAAGAAGACATGAGAGAAAACAAGGAAAGAAAAGTCTACACCATGTGGCAAAAATACAAGTTATTTCCGAAAGTTCGTGGGGGCCAGCACTGTGGCATAGTGGTAAAGCCACTGCCTGCAGTGCTGGCATCCAATATGGGCTCCGGTTCAAGTCCTGGCTGCTCCACTTCCGATCCAGCTCTCTGTTATGGCCTGGGAAAGCAGTAGAAGATGGCCAAAGTCCTTGGGCCCCTGCACCTGCATGGGACACCAGGAAGAAGCTCCTGGCTCCTGGCTTTGGATCAGCGCAGCTCTGGCCATTGCAGCCAACTGGGGAGTAAACCAGTGGATGGAAGACCTCTCTCTCTCTCTCTCTCTCTCTCTCTCTCTCTCTCTCTCTCTCTGCCTCTCCTCTCTCGGTATAACTCTGACTTCCAAATAAATAAATCTTTTTAAAAAGTTCATGAAAAACTGAATTAAAATATAAATTTAGGGGCAGGGATTTGCTCTAGCAGTTAAGACACCCATGTCCCACGTCAGTTTTCAGCTCCAGCCCCTGGTTCCAGCTTCCTGCCAATGCAGGTCCTGGGAGGCAGGGCTGATGGCTCAAGACTGGGCTCCTGCCACCCACCCCCATAAGAGACCTGGATCGAGTTTCCAGCTCCCAGCCATTGCAGGCATTTGGGCAGTGGACCAGCAGACAGGAATACTTGCTCTCTTTCAAATAAATTTTTATATATATATATACACACACACACACACACATATATATATATGAAGTATATATTTATATATAAATGAATACACACACACACACACACATCATACATAGGGGTATGGAACATAGGAACAGTTGTTAAGACATTGGGGCCGGCGCCACGGCTCACTAGGCTAATCCTCCACCTTGCGGCGCCGGCACACCGGGTTCTAGTCCCGGTCGGGGCGCCGGATTCTGTCCCGGTTGCCCCTCTTCCAGGCCAGCTCTCTGCTGTGGCCAGGGAGTGCAGTGGAGGATGGCCCAGGTGCTTGGGCCCTGCACCCCATGGGAGACCAAGATAAATACCTGGCTCCTGCCATTGGCAGTGCGGTGCACCAGCCACAGTGCGCCGGCTGCGGCAGCCATTGGAGGGTGAACCAACGGCAAAGGAAGACCTTTCTCTCTGTCTCTCTCTCTCTCACTGTCCACTCTGCCTGTCAAAAAAAAAAAAAAAAAAAGACATTGTTTGGGACACCCGCATCCTGTATCAGAGTATCTGGCTTCAATCCCATATTTGCATTCAATTCCAGCTTTCTACTAATGCACACCCTGAGAGGCAGAAAGTGGTGGTCCAAATACTTGGGCCTGTCACCTATGTGGAAAACATAGAGTGAGTTCCAGGCTCCCGGCTTGGTCTGGCCCAGCCCCAGCTGTTGCAGACATTTGGAGAATGAACAAGCACATGGAAGACCTCTCTGTTTCTGTCTATCTCCCTCTCTCCTCTGTCTCTTTACCTTTCAAATAAATTAATTAAAATGTTTAAATATATATTAAAATAACTAATTTTATTTTAGTGCAAAATATTTGAAATTCATTAATGCAAAATGTGAATTATGAAAAAAACTGGATTTCAAAGGTTTTTGCACAAAAAAACTTGCTTTTCAGTTTTCCTTGAGCTTTTTGAAGTACACTTATAGAAAGCATAAAGGGGTAGATTTCAATACATTAAATGTAAATAGACTAAATGCTCCAATTGAGATTCCTGCTGAAGCGCTATGAAAAGTATGTTTTAACTTGAACATGCATGTTTAAAAGGAGGAATATATAATAAGAATTTTTAAAGTTTATAAGTAAAAGGGTAGCAAAAAATTACCCTGAAAGCAATAACCTAAAGAAACAAGGTGACTGCTAAAGTTGACCTGTGAAAATGTACAGCAAAAACCATACTAGAGAATAGGAGAGCCAGTTCACAATGACAAAAGGTTCATCAGAGAGATAAAACAATTCTGAAATGATATGCAGTTAATAATATCCTCAAAACATACAAAGCAAATATATAAATAAATCTTCAAAGTAAGAGATTTTAATAATAAGTATTTGCTAAAACAAGCAGGCAAAAAATCAGTTAGGATAAAGAACATTTTAACAACACCCAGTTAATGAGAAATTACAGAATATCAACCAATAATTGGACAATAAAAATTGTTTTCTCTTTAAGATTTATTTATTTTTTTGAAAGGCAGAGTTAGAGAGAGACAGAGAGAGAGAAGAGACAGAGAGATCTTCCATCTGCTGGTTCACTCCCCAAATGGCCACAACGGCCAGAGCTGGGCCAGGCTGAGGTCAGGAGCTTCCTCCAGGTCTCCCATGTGGGTGCAGGGGCCCAAGCACTTGGGCCATCTTCCTCTGCTTTCCCAGGTGCGTTAGCAGAGAGCTGCACTGGAAGTAGAGCAGCTGGGACTTGAACTGGCATTGCAGGTGAGCTATGCTACAACACCAGTCCCCCAAAAATTATTTTCAAATACAGTACTTCCCACTTATCCATGGTTTCACTTTCTGCTATTTCAATTACCTCCAGTGAATTGCAGTCCAAAAATATTAAATGGAAAATGCCAGAAACAGACCATGAAAAAGTTTTCATCACAAAGCGTTCTGAGTGCTGTGATGAAAGCTCACATCATCATGCCCCACCCTGCACAAGACACAAAGCATTCATCAGCCCAGGGCACCTGGGATGCACGCTCTATTCACCACTTTGTGCTCGTCCCTCTGGCCTACAACAACAGATGGGTTCTTCTTTGCCAGTCACCTGGGGAGTCCTTCCAGCTAGGGGAAACCTGACGGGTAAGTTCAGAGCTGGCCCAGGCTGGCTGGGCAAGGCCCTACTCAGACTCCCATTTCCGGAGGTTTTGACTTTTCACGTGAGCCTGACCTCTAACTCCAGAGGGGCCACTGCAGACGACTTGTGGGGCCCTGGCTGGGTGACAAATGGGGCAAAAAGAATAAGGTCTCCCTCAACCCACACTGCACATGAGCTGCCTCCCATTCTGCCCTGAACAGAGTGGAGCTCATGCTCCCCTAAGGCTGAGCCTTCTCCCCTCTCCCTGCAGCTGGGAGCCCCCAGGGGCAGGAACCTCAGGAATGCTCCCTTGGCCTGCAGCATCCAGCCTGCCTGTAGAAATTCAGCAGACTCTCGCCAGCTTGGAACTGCTCAAAAGGGTGTGCATTCTGAAAACGCTCCTTTGCCGAACGTCTTGCAATTTCTGGGTTGATGTTGGTGAGCTGATTTATCTTCCATCCTCCTTAGTTCCAAGATCTAAACTTCCTTGAACAGCAAAACACTAACGTTGCTGCAGCCAAGTTCAACAGGAGAGGAGGCTGCCATGCTTTGGCTGCTTCAGGGTCACTGGCTGAGGACCTGGGCGTCCCACAGCTGGAGCTGGAGAGGTGGCCGCCAGTGGGGAGCAGGAAGGAAGGAGGAATATAGGGGCAGCGGACAAGGAAAGTAGGGGAAGCCAGAAAGCAGTGAACCTGGAGCCGTGGGGGCTGCCACCCAGCCCACCTGCCCAGCCTGTCTGCCCTCCCTTCACCCAGCAGGGTGACAGGTGTGAACCTGCTACCTCCTCGGTGTCTCTCAAACCCCCACCCTGACCCCTCCACGACCTCATCCCAGTTCTAGCTTACTCTCCCAGGCACTACCATGCTGGCTGTTTCCAGTGCTGATGCTACATGGGGCTGGGCAGATCTTTTAAGCACAACTCTGGTCATATGCAGTCCACGTGACAGCCATCAAGGCTTGTCCACACACTCTAAAAAACTCCACCACCCCACCTTGCTGACACTGTGCACATACTCTGCACCCTCCTGTTCTGGCCCACTCATCTTGCACACAATTCTCCAGCCCCATGCAAGGAAGGCCTCTCTCGATGCCCCTTGCATACCATGCCCCTTCTGTCTACAAGACCTCTGTGCCACTGCCCACCCAAGGAACCTGGCTGAATCCTGTTTGTCTTTCTCACCTGTGCCAGGAGTGCTGTGTCCAGGCACTCAATTGACTGTCTCTCCCCTGATCTGTTTCATTCATGGCTCTTCCCAAGCTTGGTACCGATGCGGGCGCTGCCTGTTCACTGTCAAAGGTAAGTCCCATGCAGGCCGGAGCTGTGTTTCTTGGGTTCTGCTGCATATTGCAGCACTGACCCAGCACCTCCCATACAGCAGATGTTCAGGAAGGGCCTGGTGTTGGAGGCAGGAATCCCCATGGGGTGAGAACTACTGCAGGCTCCTGGGAACTCCAGGGGAGCCGCAGAAATGTGCACAGCCATGGGCCCCAGGCGGGGATGAGAAGCAAGGGCTGGAAAGATAGATGGTCGCTGAGGGTACAGAAAATCCCTGGAAGCCAGCCTCAGAGCAGGATGCCACCCAGGCCCGGCCCAAGCTGCCCCCAGTCATGATAGCGCCTTGAGGCAGAGGAGTTCGGGGCTGGGAGGAGCCTTTCGAATGTTCGACTCTAGACAGGGCAATGAGTGGTCCATGAGCGCAAAGCCGGGCAGCCAAGGGCCAGGCTTCTGGATAGATGGGTGCAGTGCTAGTAACCTCACCCGTGTGTATGAGCACGGAATGCCAGCGGCCAGCGGCTCGCCCAGCGCGCGGTGGATGCTCTCAAGTCCCTTCTCCTCTTGCCCCATCTCCCAGGGAGAACAACTGGGGCCATGTGTGGTGTGACTCCTCTCCCTGGCTCTTCCATGTCTCCCCTGACCTGGGACATCTGGGTGGGAAACGGCTTCAGGCTGCAGATGCTATGACAGCGCTGCTTAAATTGAATTACACCGAAACCAGAGAAGCCTTCAGCTCTCCCAGGGAGTTCAGAAGTGCTCACCCCGAGAGTAACTGCACTCTGCACGGGAAAGGCATGTGAGTTGATAAGGAGTCACTCGGATCACCATCTAAGGCAGCTTTCGCCTTTGAAATAAACTCATTCCTTATTAGCACACTCCGGGGACGTGCAGGATTGAATATTATTTCTATGACACACAGTGCATTTTTTAGGCATTTTTTTCATGCCGTCAGGGTCCTATGTAATTTCATCTCTCCACATTGTCACTCTCTCGCACAGACAGGCCAGAAGCCCCGATGAGAAACGAAAAGAGAAAGCACATGGATGAGAGTCACTGACCCAACCAGGGCTGGAAGCAGGCACCAGCACACACGACAGACAAGTCTGCCTCACTGAGAGCCTGTGGCCATGAAATGACCCCTGGGCCTCCCTAGAAAGCGATGGGGAAGCCACTGAACGGCAACTGAGGAGGGAAGAGGAAATTATTCCTTTTTATGATGCTCACTTTGTGTATAATGGAAAAGACAGATGCAGGGGAGGGAAATAGTTAAGAAACTGATCATTTATTCAATTTACATATGACATCAAAAGCATAAATCTCTGACTAAGAGTCTCGTGTCTTCTGCCAGCGCCCATGAAACTAAATCAGGCTACTGGTGAGCTTGCCAGCAGGGTAACATCTCAGAACTTCATAGTGCCTAACAAAGAGGAAACCACAGAGGAGCAGCCTGATGGGTCTTTTCTCCCTCTCTTTCATCCTTACCTGCTGGAACCAGGTGGTAACACCCAGCCCAGGAGGGGCCGCAAGGGAGACCGCAGAAGGAGGGCGGCAACAGTGTCTGGACTTAGCCGGGAAGACCGACCAATGCCACAGGTCACAAACAAAACCCTCCCCTTGTATCCCCACCAGACTCAGTATTCACGGGCTAACTCAGACTCTCAGACACAGACATAAGCCCAGCCAAGATTTGCCAAACATTTGAGGGAAATCAATCCTATGTAAGAGAAGCATGTGTGTGTGCAGACAGAGAGACAAGAACACTCAAAATGGGGGACTTAATATGACAAACAGTACAGGTCTCTACAATGAGGATAAGCATGTACAGAAAGGCATGGGGGAATAGTCAGAAAAAAGTAGCTAGCTTCTTGCGATTTTAACACTGCTCATAAAATAAGAACTGAATAAAAGACTAGACAGAGCGAAGAGTAAAGAATTAGAACATTGACGCAAGGAGTTCTCTTGAGTACAACTCACAAAGTCGGAGATGTTGATACGGCTGAAGGAGCAGGAAAAGCCGAGACCCCAGAGCAAACTTTGTCAGGACGAAGTCTCTGCAGGAGAGGACAGAGAAGACAGAGATAAGTCACGGGGGAAAGTTCCACGACTGAGGAAGGGCACCAACCCTCAGGCTGAACAGAGCCACTGAGGGCCGAGCAGAATGAACCAACAAATCCCCAGTCACAGCAGGAGACCCTAGAGTGCTCAGAAATCAAGGGATGAGGTAAGACCAAATCATTCTACAGAAAGGGGCTGTTCCACATGATAGCCTATTCAAACGTGACTCTTTATATTTAAAACAATGCCAATTAAAGAAAACGTAAAATTCAGTGTCTCAGGTATACTAGACACTTTTTTAAAAAAGATTTTATTTACTTATTTATTTACTTGAAAGTCAGAGTTACATAGAGAGAAAAGAGGCAGAGGAGAGAGGGAGAGGGAGAGAGAGGGAGAAAGGGAGAGAGGGAGAGAGAGAGAGAGGTCTTCCATCCACTGGTTCACTCTCCAATTGGTCGCAACAGCCAGAGCTGCGCCGATCCAAAGCCAGGAGCCAGGAGCTCTCTCACACAGGTGCAGGGCCCCAAGGACTTGGGCCATCTTCCACTGCTTTCCCAGGCCATAGCAGAGAGCTGGTTTGGAAGAGAAGCAGCTGGGACTAGAACCAGTGCCCAAATGGATACTGGTGATTCAGGCCAGGGGGTTAACCTGCTGCGCCACAGCACCAGCCCCTAATAAACACTTTTAAGTGCCTGATACATGTGACAGCAGCAAGCCTCAGCTAGAGAACATTTCTGTCATCCGGGAGGCACTATATAGGGGAGTCTACTGAAGGATTTGAATGACCCAATTAACAAACCGAATCTAACTGCAAAACACAAGAACTGCACCCAACAGAGCATACACATTTCCATGAAATGCATATAAAACACTCTGAAAGATAATATAGTGTACATTTATGAGCATGACTATACAAGTTCTAAGTAAAATCCAAGCTAAGAAGCATATAATGAATTTAAACATCTATTCTTCATTGCTTTTAAAAAGAAAAAAAAAATCTCTTCACAAACTTCAATGGAAGAATTCTTCAGTTGCTAATCTAGCATAAACCCACAACAGGTTAAGCATCCCTGGTCCAAAAATCTGAAATCCAAAGCTTGCTGAGTGTTCACAGGACAGCACAAGTGGAAAATTCCACTTCTGAACTCATGTGACGACAGGTCGCAGTCAAAACATAGGCACACTAAAAATACTGTATAAAATTACTTTCGTGCTATGTGTAGACAGTATATATGAAACATAAATAAATTTTATGTTTAGGCTGTGGTCTCACTCCCCAAAGTTTTCACCATGTTTACGCAAATAGTTCAAATTAAAAAAAAATTGAAATTCAAACACATCTGGTCCCCAAAATGTCAGATAAGGGATACTCAAACTGTACAAAGCTGGTCAGGGTGGAAAGTTTAGAAGAATTCCCAATGGTCAGGACCTAACCAACAACACCTGCTCTCGTCACTGTACTTCAACTGGGTAGAGACAGCCCTCACCGAGGCAAGACCAGGGGCTATACACACAGGGAGCAGGAAGATACAACGCTGCTGCTATTTGCAGGGGATAATGATACAGCGCCAAATAAATGCAAGAGAACACACGGGGAAGTTCATCGAATGCAGTAAGGGGATTAAATGCCTGAAAAGAAAACCAGGACCAGGAGGATAGGGAGGGGAGGAAGGAGGGAAGGCAGCCTTCCTTAGTACCTGCAGGAAGTAATCAGAAAATGGAACAGAAAGACTTTATATCCTATTTACACATCAGAAAAAAACAAAATAATACCACAAAAACGAATCTAAGAAGATGTTGAAAAGACCTATCTGGAGAGATCCCAATACTTTACATAGAGAAAACCTGAGTAAGTTGTCAGCTGTACTATACCTGCATAGAAGAGCTGAGATCATAAAGACATCAGATATCCTTGAATCAACCCATAACCCAGTGCCAGTCTACTCAAAATCATCACTGGCTTTTGTAAGGAAGTATACCATAAATGCATCCAGAATAAAACATGTGCAAGAATAATCAAGACAATTTTGCTTGAAAAAGACAATGATCAAACTTTCTCTACCAGCCATCAACAATTTAGTAATGAAAGCAATTCAATATTAAGTCAAAAATATATTACAGATTAATGAACATACAAAGAATTCAGAAATAGAACAAAAAACATAGGGAAATTTTTTGTATAAAAAGAAGGTGGTACTTTCAGCAAATTAAAAATATTATATTTTTCAATAATAATGTTAACACAACTGGCTGTTCATTTAGAAAAACAAAGATGGAATCATTATAACAATATTTTTAAAGAGGAGAAATCTACAAAGCCATTGGAAGAAAACATGGTATGGAAATACACTATCAAACCAAAGTGATATCAGTGTATGAAATTTCTGGGGCTGGCATTGTGGCACAGTAGGTTAAGCCACTGTCTGGGAGGCTGGCATCCCATATGAGTGCCAGTTTGTGTCCTGGCTGCTCCACTTCTGACCCACCTCCCTGCTAATGTGCCTGGGAAGGCAGCAGAAGATGGCCCAAGTGCTTGGACTCTTGCCACCCATGTGGGAGAGCTATATAGCATTGCAGGCCCCTAGCTTCGGCCCGGCCTGGCCCTGGCTGTTGTAGCCATTTGGGGAGTGAACCAGTAGATGGAAGATCTCCCTTTCTCTCTGTAAAAGTGTGTTTCAAGAGAACAAATGAGTTTTTAAAAAAATAAAGATAAAATATAACACATCAATATGAAAAAGATATCACAATCAAAGGTAAAAGAAAAACAACACATTTAAGAAAATATTGGCTGGCCAGCACCATGGCCCACTAGGCTAATCCTCCACCTGTGGCGCCGGTACCCCGGGTTCTAGTTCCAGTTGGGGCGCCAGATTCTGTTCCAGTTGCTCTTCTTCCATGCCAGCTCTCTGCTGTGGCCCGGGAAGGCAGTGGACGATGGCCCAAGTGCCTGCATGGGAGACCAGGAGAAGCACCTGGCTCCTGCCTTTGGATTGGCGCAGTGCGCTGGCTGTAGCAGTCATTTAGGGGGTGAACCAACGGAAGGAAGACCTTTCTCTTTGTCTCTTTCACTGTCTAACTCTGCCTGTCAAAAAAAAAAAAAAAAGAGAGAGAAAATATTAGCAAGAATTAACAACCATAATAAATTAAAACTTCTACAGATCACTGGAAGGAAGTCCACACAAAAAAACCTACACAAAGGTTCTAAGGAGCAATCCAATGATAAAACATAAAAAAAATCCAATAAAAAAAAATCTATTCAATCTCTCTGCTACTTAAGAAAAATCTAGTTAAGGGCCGGCGCCGCGGCTCACTAGGCTAATCCTCCGCCTAGTGGCGCCGGCACACCGGGTTCTAGTCCCGGTTGGGGCGCTGGATTCTGTCCCAGTTGCCCCTCTTCCAGGCAGCTCTCTGCTGTGGCCCGGGAGTGCAGTGGAGGATGGCCCAGGTGCTTGGGCCCTGCACCCCATGGGAGACCAGGAAAAGCACCTGGCTCCTGGCTCCTGCCATCGGATCAGCGCGGTGCGCCGGCCGTAGCGCGCCGGCCGCGGCGGCCATTGGAGGGTGAACCAATGGCAAGGGAAGACCTTTCTCTCTGTCTCTCTCTCTCACTGTCCACTCTGCCTGTCAAAAAAAAAAAAAAAAAGAAAAGAAAAATAAAAATCTAGTTAAAACAGCAAGGTGCCACATTTTAACATTTTGTCTCCATAAAAGGACGAGGTTGAGAATCAGGTGTAGTGGAAGTTAAGAAGGGACAGAAGCTCCCATGCACTGCTGGCGGAAAGCACCACAGTGCCACTGGACAGTATTTGTTTATGTTTTACCGTGAACACTAATTCCTGGCTTGAACATCTATCCCCTGTTTAAAGGAAATGATGCCAAAGGCAGCAAGTGTAGAAAACAGGGGGCAGGGGCTCCCAATTCCATTTTCCATGAAACTAAGGGATATGCTAAACCCCAAACCACAGGATGAGTGACAAAGGAGGGAAGAATGGGCAGACCTCTGGGAGCATCAGCAAGGTAACCTGACACGGCTCAAAAGGAGGGGCACACCCTCACTTTAGCAGAAATCCTAAACCCTCACTTTGCAAAAGTTGCAATGAAGTTCCTGGGCTGGAATTGGGAGCACCCCTGACCCCACACTGGCTCTAAAAAAGACAGTGAATTGATCTACCCAACAATCACCGAGGTAGTTACTCAAGCAATGGAAAGACACACTTCGCTTGGTAAAAAGCTGTACAGTTGCTTCTCTCACAGACAAGAA